AAACTAATGAACACCCTGGCTGGCCATTTGAAATTTATTGCACCTATTAATTACAACCATTAGATGCAGCCAGTGAAATTTTTATAATGAGGACCCTTGCGACTTTGCTTTCCTAGCAGCAAATTAACTGTGTATATGAAGGCTGAGGAGGGGAGAGAGGGTTAGAATCAATGGCATCAGCATACTTTACAGAAGCAATGTTTTAATTAGTGGTTCTCTGCAAACACTGCAGCCTGAAACTCCAGCTGAATATGCATCATTATTTCCCATTAAAGAGACAATGCTTCCTTTTACTAATTGACTTTATTTCCTTTTAAGATGTTTTTTTTAAAAAAAGCAGAAGTTGAATACTTTATGTCTGGGGTTGCATATATTGGGTGAGGGGATTGTTGTTAATGAAATTCAGAGTTAATAATTAAAATAGAAGTTAAAAATAGGGATAAAACAAAAGGTGAAGTATCTCTATCTGTCTCACATTAGCACTCCACCTTTATTTGGAGGTGCTCAAAGTAGTATCATATGTTGCAATGATCTCATAGTTAATAGTTAATAATACCTGTGGGGTAAACTTAAATTGAGTGAAAATATATCTTTATTGGTCGTGGAATATAAATTGAATTCTAAATAACTTTTAGTGCCTTAGTTACCAATTATTTTCATGGTAATTCTGGAACCAATTAGAGGCAAGTCTGACCTCTAATTCAATACTGGATAGCCATGACCTACCAGCTGGATGCTAAAGTCTCAGAAATTCCCATTCCGGCTGCAAAGTTCCCTAAAGATTTCCAGCAAGCTACCGGTAAAAGAGTATGGGTGTGACAATATTTTCAGCAAAATTATACAAATCCCACTTCTGCTCTAAGAACACATTTTGCCACATCATTGTCCATTTCTACTTATCAGCAGTCCATGATCATTTGTCTCTAGTCAGTCTCTAGTCTCTAGTTTTGCTCTTTCCCAGCATTAGGCTCTTCTCCAGTGAGTCCTTCCTTCTCATTAGGTGGCCAAGGTATTTGAGTTTCATCTTCAGGACCTGGCCTCCTAAAGAGCAGTCAGGGTTGTACAGGACATAAATGTGGGATGCCCCTTGTGGTAAAATAGAAAATTCAATCATTTCAGTGAGGGATGGATTTCATCTGATTTGATGGAAGGACTAGCCAATCTCAGTCTTGTATTACAAGGGTTAGAGAGATGCATATCATCCCAAGATCAAGATTTTTCATGATAGCAGCAACAAAATGCTTAAATATGTGATGACTTTATGGTTCCTGTATGATCACTATGTATTTTTTAGAACAAGATAACATAAGTTGGAATGATGATGTCAATTGTTTGCAGAAAGATAATGGCTATCAAAACCATATTCCAGGAACAGAGTTCACCCACAATATTTTGCAAATATTGGTTAATCATCTGCATTCACAGATACTATTAAGTAGTAGAAATAATAATTTAGTAATGATAGCTGTGCTTGACAGGAGGGCTGAGGACCACATTACTCATAATGGAAGGACTGATTTTAGTAGGGATTTAAAGGGGGTTGTTAAGATGACCAGTATAGTTTTCACCCATTTCCTGTTAAAAATGGGGAAAGATTCCATTCGTTTTCAGCCATGATATACTGCATATAGCTACAATCATTCCAATTATAGTTTAGCACATTCTATATATCCAACTTTTGTGGCACAAGTCAAAATAAGAATGCAAAAACTGCCCATTCTTTGTCCCTGGCTTAATGTGTTCTTTTTGCTCCAGTTTCTCACAAAGGGTTTTAACAAATTGGATCCCTTCCTTTCCTCATTGCTGAGTGAATGTGTGAAAAGAGTAAAGATTTCCAATTTCAGCAGCAGGGGCTTAACTGTTAGGAAGAGCAAAAACCTGGCGAAATCGGTAATTGTTGGTCTAAGGAATTGGTCTGTCCAGCTGGTTCAGAAAGACATTTATTAGGGCTCAGGAAAAGTGACATTATTAAAGTGAGCATGCTGATTTCAGACAGCTCCCAATTCATCACTCTGACAGTGACAAACACAGCCTGAGGTTAAGCAAATGACTACAGAGAATTCTTTGGCTTTACATTTTTAATATTCACTGTGTTTTCTTGGCTGCAGAGAGTCCTATTCAAAGGATCTTCTTCCTTGAATAGAAAGGGCAAAGCAGGGCCATGAAACATGCTTGGATTTTGCAAATCAAGTAGGGCCTCTGTCATTCCCCTCACTCTAGTTCATTTATCTTGCACCTGAATGGAAAGTGGAGGGTCAATTTTTAAAGGCTCCATGTTACAAGCTTTCCTAAATACACTAATAACTCCCTAATGGAATTGGGATTTCTGTCACTCAGACCACCCAGTTCTCCAGGCAAACAAATGGTTTCTGGTGCTTTTGAATTCTCAATTCTTCACTCTCCCATTTCTATTCCCAGGGAATCTAATACTGCAATACACAAAGTGCCTTGTCTCTGCTACCATCCTCCTCTCACCGGTAACATGATGTACTGTCAATGGAGCTATCCTTGAAAACAGTTGAGAAGCAAAATTGATAACACAATTTTGGCAATACGCATAGAATCAGAGGCTATCATTATGACTTTGTAGCAACTGTGGAGCCTGTGATGCTTTATGAATTTGCCTGTTTATTTGCAGATGTTTCAATACCTGACTATATAACATGATCAGTACTAGCTCTGATAAATTTAGCACTGATGGTACCGAGTCAGTTAATTAAAGCAAGCGATCAAACAGACAGACAGACAAGCTCTGAGAATACCACAGACTCCACAGTTCAACTCTGAGCTACATTTATTCTCTTCTGTTCTACCAACTATACTCATTATAATCGGACATCCAAATGTAATTCTAAATACATGTTTCTTTTGAATTTAAATGCTTTAAATGTCCTACAGCCACTGGCTTGAAAGATTGGCTTAGTTCCTTCACTGCATTATATCCTGCTTCTTCCCAGAGCTTTGGTAGATATCCATGGCTTTCCTCAATCATTTTTGTCCTGAGTTATCAGCTGAAGAGAGGTCAAAGGGACTATTTAGGTCTTTGAGTATAATCCTTGTCAATTTATCCAGCTTCCCTTTTTACGATGAAATTTTCTTTACCCTTAATAGGTTGAGATTAATAAGCCAATGAAGGTTTGAACTAAGGTTTTCCTAGTCCACCATTAATTACATAATAAAGATCTTTTTATCTACATACTGCTAAATTTTTCCTTGCTTGTAAACTTCAATTACCCCAAACATTGCATCATAGTGCAAAATGTTTTGAATCATGGTACCTCAAATCCTCTAAATCAGGACTGTCAAACGCATGTTGTCATGGCGGCATCACATGACATATCTTGACTTTTTCCCCCTTCTCTAAACTGGGCGTGGGTGTGGCCAGCACGTGACACATTCAGCCCGCGGCCCGGGAGTTTGACAGCCCTGCTCTAAATGCATACAAAATCCAGGACACATTACTCCTGTTTGGTTGAAATTTTAAGAATCTTCATTCTACTTTTATTAGCAAAATTTTGGCTGCTGCAGCATTGCCACAATTAACCACGGTCACATGACTGTGATTTCTGATGCTCCCTGCCAGCGTTACACAAACAAAGTCAATAGGGAAACCAGCAGGGAGTCAGAAATTACTCCTACTTCCTCTATTTTTTTTTTGCTTTTCCATGGTCATTCAGCTTCTCTGTTTAGGTAAGGAAATATCTCTGAAAGGCTCACCCAACAGATCATGGCTTGTCTCATACCTTTATAAGTTTAGGTAACCCAACTTCTCCTTGAATGAAGGTGAATATATGCGTCCCAGGATAATGTTACAGGATCAATTCTGGGTCCATCACTGGGACAAGAGGTTTAGTCTTCTGAACCTTTGGACTCATGCTGGAGCCCATCTCAATTAGTGCAAGCAGTACTGTCAGCACCTCTCCAGGAACTAGAACATAGGCTCTAGCACAAGTCTGAAGGCTCGGAAGACTAAACCTCTGGTCCTGGTGACTAATCCAGAATTGATCTGTATCAATGTTATCCACCTTTGTTTTTTATGTTTTACTTTAAGAATCAACCATTAGGGATCAAACTAAAGGCTCACCCAGTACAGAATTCTGTTTCTGTAATGGCCAACCGTATGTCTCTGGGAAGCCAACAAGCAGAAAATGAAGGAAATATCATACCTCCCACTCAAGCTCCTCAGTTTTATGTTTTGTCTATTTTTGCTTTGATTCTTAAACTTTGTGTACATATGTTCCTAGAAAAAGAAGACAGATATGTTTAAGATATGTTTATAATAAATACATGTTTGGCAATGCTAGAACTGTATTTCAAATTACAACCTGTCATCTAGAATTGGCAACCAGATTAAAGGCAGATTATCATGTTTTTATATACCATCTAACAATAAAGTTATCTGGCTGGCTTATCATAAGAGTCATTAAAATATTAAACTGTAAGTATAAGTCATTAAAAAATTAACAACAAAGTTTTAAAATTAAGAGAGGATTACATATTTGCAGAGGGAGACAGCAAGCAAATAATACATGCATCAAGATATTGTACAAGTAACAGAACCTATGTGATGGACTTCATAATGCAAATTAAACAATCACATCTTTTTCATAATGACATCATAATGAACATGTCATCATTTGAAATTATTGTTGCTTGGAAAAGATATTTATTTTTTTCCCAATGCCTATTTAATGTATTTAGATATGGTAAGCAGGAACTTATCACTTAAAAAGTTCTCTCTTACTGAACCTCATTTAGAAATAACATCTGGAAAAACATATATCTCAGTTGCATGATCCATATAGTAAATTACACTAAGATATTATTTTCTCAGCTATAATTTGTTAAGTAAATCACTATGGTTGTCAAAAACATATGCTGTAATACAAATCATAATGGCTGAATTTATACAACCAGATTATGTATGAACAATGTGCAATGTATGAACCCAGCCAAAGTCTCTTAGTGAATATATATGGAATTCTGACATTCAATAATAAAATAGGAGATAGAAAAACCCAACTGCAGAATCTGTATGATTTGGTTAGTTTCCCAATATGGTAAAATAAATAGTTTCATACTGAAACATGGTAATACATGTAGAATGTGAACTTAATCATAGGCATACCAGTAAGTCTAGTGCAAAATTTGAAGCCTTCTTAATAGAATACCAACTATATATTCCTCTCTTCTCTGTCAAAGGATTTAAATATATGTAGCATTTTAAATATCTATCTATTCTTAGGTATTGATTGAATGTGCATAAGATCACTGCAGCCTACTTCAAGTCTCTTTACTTTCCTGCTATATTAATCTATAGCCAGAATGTGAAGACAGGCTTGCCATATAATTTACCAGGTTAGAAAAGGTTGTACTACTAAATGGCAGGAAGGCAATGGAATCAGAACAGAAGATCCTTTTTAGGACCAACACAGGAAGTTCCATTTTATTTAATTATTGGTTTGATTTATATGCTGCCCTTTTCCGGAGATTCAGAGCGGCTTACAATGCGTTAAGCAAGGCTTAACCATAAGGCTGCTGTCCATCCAGCTTATTATTCACATATCTGACTTATTGACTGACACATCTTTGTGCCTTGCCAAGATTCCACATAGGATTCCTCCTTATCTGGAAGTGTGCAGATCTGAACCTGGGAACCTCTGCAAGCAAAGCCTATATGATGCTGCCGTACCATAACTCTTCCTTTTTCCATCCCATTGTAAAAATTACATATTACTGGTATATAGAAGCATCAGTAGACCAGTAAACAAAACAATCCATATTTTGTTGATTTACTTACTAGTAGTTATTCTTCAAGGGACGTGGTGGCTCAGTGGCTAATAAAGGTAAAGTAGAACCCACCCCTGGCACACATACTGTATACAGTTACAAGCTCCTAGAAATGGTTATTTACTCATTTACCATATATCGAAAGTCTTATAGTTCATATTTAGCTATAATCTGCTTCTCTACAAACTCCACCCATAAGTTCCTGTTCTCTATAGACTAGCAAAATCCAGTGCAGCTCTGAATGTGCCTGAATCACCATATAGCTTCATGTTTAGCCCTACAAATGGCCATTTAACTTCCTTATTTTTTGATGGTTGTGAGGCTCTGGGAATGTGTGCATAGTTCATGCATCTCTCTCTTGCTTGAAAGCTTATGTTTTAAATTAAATTTGTTAGATGAAAAAGCGGTTATGACAGAGTGACGTTTTGCCCAATAGACTAACATGACACTCATCTTACAATGCTGTATCATAGGATTCCACAATCTGAGAACAGAGTCCGTGTGCATGTTTTCTTCTAGACTTAACAGCAAGTTGAGCATCTATCCTGAAAACTTTATTTAAAATCTACATTAAGTTTTGAAATCTTCCATTTGGAACTGAGCCAGTGCCACCCAGTTGGCTTTCATGCCTAAGAGAGGCCTACAGTCTCACAGTCTCTTGCTTTTTAAAACAGTACCTGTTATTCCAGTGATACAGCATTCTGCTATAGTGAGTTGTGATCTCCGTCTCATGTTGTAGAAATGGGGTACTAAAAAGTTATGATTGTGGTTGTGACTGTGTGATCAAACATCCACTCCCTTTTTGCATGCAATACACCTAAAAAGGGTGTATCCCATGATCACAGCCACCATCTTGAATTTTTTGAAACCTCTCTAAGGATTCCCCTGAATGGATAGTTATGACTGGATGGATGGATGGAGCAGTATGTATGTATGTAAGCCCTACATGCTACAGTATATATCAAATCCTTGTGTTGTTATTTTTCTACCTTGGTCCTTGATGATGATTAAGGTATTCTAATCCTAATTGGTGGCAGCAAAATTGCAGTTGGGTAAGGGACAAGCTCACCTTGTAGCTGCCAAACCAACCTTCCAAAAGCTTCATTTGACTGATCTTTGCTTTATTCCAGCTGTTACATCCAGAAAACCTTTTTTTCACAGAATAAAAGTGGCAGAGAGATGCAGTAAAATGAGGACTGTCTGTTTCACAAACCTTGCAGACAGGAAGCCTCATTAAACAGCCTCTTTTGCCATTGTTCTGTGCCTTTCAAAGGAAATATCTAGACTTTATTTAAAGCAGGAACCAGGCAGACAGGTATACAGAGAAATCTGTCAAATAAAGCTGATGGGGGAAGGGTAGTGAGAGGCTGCAGCTGCAGCCATGAATTAAAAGGGCTGGGCTTATCCGTATTGGGGCTGCTTTGTGCTGAAGGCAGACTCCTTCTCTGGAAAGACAAGGTCAGGCTGAAGCAGAGAGGATAAAAATGGTGTCGGCTGGTTCCCAGGTTACTGGATGGGAGGGATGCAATTGTCATTGCCGTGTGGAACGGACTGATCTAAGGTGCTGAAGGGCTCTTTAATTAATGCTGAGCGGTTGTGTTTGAAGCTAGAAGGTCAGTCAAATATTCCCGGTAACCTTGGAGGGCTTAATCATGCCCTCAATACTAGCAGAGCTATTGAAAAGCAACCATCTCAAACAGGATTTTGGCTTTTGCTGCCTCTTTTTTTTTTCTTTTTAATCTGTCTGAGGTAATTTGCAGATGTCGAATGCTTCACTTAGGTGGGGGCAGTTTTTGGCAGGGGTGCAGTCAAGCCATTTAGGCTTGGCATGTTTGGTTTTGCTTCACAACCTTTGTGCGAGCCAAAGAATTATTAGGCCTCTGCTAAATGCTCTGTGACCCTAACAACCAGTTCTGGCTCTAGACTTAATTTTTTTTAAAAATAAAAATAACTAAAGCTCATTAAGGAGAGGGATTGCTGAGCAACAGTTCATATTGCCTTGTGTTACACCTTGATAAGGCTGGACTTGAGGCTAACATTTCTCTGGAGACCAGCAAGAGAACCTGGGCTGCCTGGAGCAAAGAGAAGTGTCCCTTCCCAGCTGCCCAGTTTGGCTGCTGATTTTCCTTCAGTATTAGTGATAGGCAGTGCCTATCACTAATACTGTAGATCTTCTACTGCACCCTGAGCATCAGACCAGCTTAGATGGCCAGAACAGACCATAGAGCAATTCTGTTTTCCTACCTTTGCTGCCATTCTGCCTGGTACTGCTTTTCGGTCCCTTCAGACAGATGCTACAAAACAGTCCACTTGCCCCAAAGGTAGATCACAGAGGATCCTCATCAGGTCTGGGTCATAATAATAGTTTCTCCGATCCCCTCCCCTTCCCTTCCCAAAGGTGTTTTTCAAAAAGGAATTGAGAAAGTACATATAAAGCTGGATAGTAGTATTATCAGCCCAAATCAATCCACTGCTTGATCTCTTGTATGGATGTTTGGGTGGTTTAGGGGTGGGAAATTTGTGGTGTGTGTGTGTGTGTGAGTGTGTGTGTTTGGGGATTGTTATGTGTGTTGGACCTGGTCTTTGGGTGTTAAGTGAATTTTGTTGTATGGGTATACTGTGTATACACGTACAATGACAATAAAGTTATTATTATTATTTTATAAAGACATTCTTGCTGAAGTTAAAGAGCATAATCTACCACACTGTTACTATGTGTTTTAGTTTGTAAATATATGGGTTCCCTTTTCAATCTAAGCCCAAAGTCATCAGACAATTTCCATGCCTAAGGGAGGATGAGAACCTGAGTCTCCCCAATATCATTCTATCACCTTAATTACTACACCATGTTAGCTCTCACACATCTCTGTATATATAAGTTCCAAAATCTATGATTTGAATTCCATATGTTTAGGAAACCTGGCTACTTAATTCATGAAAACCAGGAGTGGAGTAATAGGGTAAGTTATGTCAGGATTGTTGCTGAAGATAGTGCATATGTGACTCATGTACCAGCATAGTTTGAGTTCTTCTGTGCTCTTTTTCATAGAGCTTCTTTCCTTTGATTGAAGCAGGATCCCTTATCAAGTGTCTTAAAGCAATGCTGGCTTAGGGAATTCTGAAAGTGGAAGCTCACACGGCTTAGAATTGCCAAGGTTGAAAAACATTGCTCTAGAATAGATATATTCTCTTCCCACCTTTGATTCAATAAAATAGAAATGCAAGATTTTAACAGTTCTGCTCTGAACGCAGTTATGCGAAGCATTCAAATACATGAACTCCAGCAGGTTTTGAGGTTATTGAGTAACCCATTCAAAAATTTATAAAATTTGGGTGCAGGAATGGCAGAATTTATAAAAGCAGCGTACAGTTATAACTGAGCGATTCAAACTGAATCTCATTGTAACTCATTCACTTTGTATAAACATAAGAATTGCTATGTTGGAGCTGATCAAAGACCACAGGTAATTCTATCACTAAATACAATTTTATTCTTTTTTTGCTTTTTACTTCATAAAAGGCTTCTGCTTGAAAAGTGATATGAAAATATTTTAAGTAAAATATTGCACTGCTAATCATCACAATGGATAATTAACTACAGAGTCCTTTAATACTAATATTCAGCACAGTGTACTATCTTTCAGATCCTTGAGGGGATTTATATATTATTCTAGTTTCTGGAGAAGTGCTGACTGTATTCACTCTGCTTGCACTAATTGAGATTAAGTTTGGGGCAATATTGTGTAAGTAGTCACAGGGTGATGCAGGATTCTATATTCAGAACATCGTTCGTAGCCAAAATTGCTTGGATGTCTGCAAAACAAAGATAATCACTGTATTATGGAGAAAATAGTCCTCATAAGGAAAATTGAGAAGTATTACCATTAGCCTATTATCTTCTACAATCTCTTAATCAGAATTTATTGAATAGAGAAGATTGCTTATTAAAGGTTTCTTTCCAAAATACTGCTTAATTGAAGGGGAGAGTCTGTCCCCCCAAATCACAGATGCAATAAAACATATAGGCTGTTCCTAGTCCTTAATGAGTCACTGGTAGCCGATTTTGGAATGTTCCACCAGCCATCAGCACATTGATTTTATGTTTTTATGTTTTTATGTTTTTAATGCTAACAATGAAATGTTCTTTGTGTTCACAGTGAGACAACTCTAAGGCTTTAACTACAACAAATTACATTTTGGCTTAGTGTATTGAGTAAATATATCAAGTATGTTGCGGCTTGTAAAATGTGATTTATAGTATATTTTATTGTACAAATCCAGCCAACAAATCATGGTTAAACAAGATATGGGTGAGCATAATGTGTAATCTCAGCTAGCCAGGCTAATAATATAAGGGAAATGAATACTTACTGTACAGAAGTGATACTGAGAACCAGAAATATGTAAAAATCAGACAAAGTAGTAGTGGAAAAGTTTAAGATGACAATTACTGAATAGAAAAAAGAGTGGAAGTCACAATTATATATTTATTCTTTAAAAAAAAACATTATTGCTTCTCTATTTCTTATTTTCTATGTTTGCTTTTATTTGTTTTGTATATCTTATTACATTAAAATTCTAACTAGAGAGTCAGAAATGTATGAGGGCTTTTATAGCAGCCACAAGAAGATAATATATGAGTCACTGGACATTGATTAATTGATAACATGGCATGATAGAGATGGGACTAAATAATAGAGCTTCTAATTCCTAGTATGAAATACAGAATAGAATGAACTGTGTTTTTTTTAAAGCTATATTTTTAGAATAATAATATACTTTTGAAATTAAGTTGCTGGTTGATTGGAGGGGGATAAATTAAAAAGAGAGAAAGATGGCTTCTTATGTTTGAGTACCAACTGAGTGATGTAACAGTAGCTTCTCATGTTTCAAAACACATTCTTGTAATTATTAGTTTGTATTTATCTCCTGTGGAGACAAAACTGTTTTTCCCATCCTATTTCTGGTTATATAAAATTCAAAGAAAGGAGTACAACAGCCAATGAACCCTGAAAACAGATTTAGTGATGATTCATATAATAATGATTTCTCTTAAAAATGTAATTTGCAAATTAATCACCTTTTAAAAAGTTAATGCAAGGGTATAAGATCCTTCATATCTATATAAGGAGTAAATTATATTTAAGTAATAGCTATATTCAAATCTCATCTCACCTAATCAATCATCTCACCTAATCAATATTACTGGAAATTTGAGGGAATGAATCTGGGATTCTCTGTGTGTAAAACATACTCTGCCCATGAACTAAGGTCTCACTCTAGATGGAAAAACGTTAGATGCAGACACAAAAAAAATCCATTTTAAGATAGAATGTTTGTAATTTCCTATCTGACTAGCAACCAGAAATATTGATCCAAATTTACAGCAGATGTCTTGTTTGATAGAGGGGAAACATCCCAATCCTTTCTCTCTTTTATCTTACTCGGTATAGATTTCCTTTGGATGCTCCTGTCCCTTGCCTCTCCTAGGGGATGCCCCAGTTCACTTTTGCTTGCTTCTGTGGACTCCATGGCTTCTGCAAGATGAAGAGGAAACATGAGGAGTCCAGTTCTGAGCAAGAAACTGCTGTTTGAAAAGAGAAGGCTTTTCTTTTCGGGGTTCACTTAAATGTGAATTGGAAAAGCATGCTTACTGCAATAATTTGGTATGATGTTCTTGCCCCTTTCTTTGAGGCTTTCTTTCATGGCTTTCCTTTTCCAGAAAATCCTCTTGTTCACCCATTGGGCTGCTTGTGTCAGTGGGTTGGATAGGCAGAAAAAACATTAGTGTGACTGCATAATTTTTTTAAAGAGTATCACCTTATAGATTTAGAAATGTCAATGAACTGATAAGGAGCCAAAGAAATGATATGTATCCTACAACATGATTCTCTCTGTGAGTGTGTGTGCGTAAGTGTAATTGGGCTTCACATTCTCTACAGAAAAGCTGCCCTCCCTCTTTGGGGTCTCCCATGGAGTTTAATGGATTAGTTTAGGAAGGTACACTGATAGGAAGAGATGAACCCGCTATGAATGATAGCCTTTTTTATCAGCATCAGGAATGGAAGAAAAGAATGTGTGTGAAAGACATTAATCTGCTTTATTACATTTATTTTTCTCTCCTCGTTTTTCTTCTCTACAGATTATGGAGGTGGAGGAGAAATGACTCAATACAAAGGACAAACATTACAAAGGAACATCCAAAATCTGTCTGGGGAAATGGCCGTTCTACAGTTTCCTAGTTTGAATTACATTGACCTCTAGAGACTCTAGATATTGATGGTTTTTTAAAAAATTCAATTAATTTATCGAGATACATCAGCCATCTCCAAACTGGAATGTTTTATAAATAATGGACAATAAGCCAGCTGGGTAACTTTGGGCCAGTCACACTCTTTCAGCCCAAACCACCTCATAGGGTTGTTGTTGTTGTGGGGAAAATAGGAGTATTTAAATATGTCCACTGCCTTGGGTTATTTACAAAGTAGTAAAGGTGGGATAAAAGTTAAATAAACAAACAAGCAAGCAAACTCCCTTTCTGGCTGGGACTTGGAATGAAGCAAGTTAAGGAAAACTACCATATAGATTTCTTTAACTCTTTTGCTAGAGAAGAGCCTTTGACAAAATCAGGCTGCCTTCTTGGTTTGGTTTAATTCAAACACACAATATTGCTCAATAATATTTAGAATAATAAAGATGGAATAGATCGGTTAGTCCATCTAGTCTGCCTCCTCTGATATAATCAAGTATATTTGAGGTATGGTTAAGAAGAAAGGACTGCATTAGATTACAAGCGAATCCATTTAAGGCTTGTTTGACAACACAGCAGAACATTCATATGTTTGTACTGGGTTATTTTAATGACAGCTTTGGCAAACATTTTGATATATAAAATCTGGTAGATGTTCCTCTCATGATCGAAACGTGTTCAGCCCATTTCAGTCACTGAATGCAAACAAGAAAGATAAGGTAGTTTTCATTAAAATTAAAATGCTAACCAATTCCTCTTACGTGTAAACTATATACATACTAAACTTCAGCCGATGTTTAGTTAATTGTAGGTTTGGGTTCATATTTCTCTTTAAAAATGCTGCTTTTGTATTAAATAAAGCATTTTTCTCGAATCACAGAACGACAGTTTGGATGAAAAGGAAGCAAAAAACCCCTCTATTTTTGTAAAATAAGGAAGGAAAGAGTAGAAATCAGTCCATTTTTTTTTAGCAGAAATAAATGAAGAAACATGCAGTTAAGGCACTATGGGAATAGTTGTCTGTGGGGAGTAGAACAATATATATGGCATAGTCCTATTTTCTCCATTGTTTGCCATGCATTTCTTGTTGCAGAATAATTTTCTGTCAGTAAAGTAGGCACCTTTTCTTAGGACTTTTTGAACTTTACAAAGCAGGTAGAAATCCCACTGACTAGAGCTACATAATATGTATTTCTATATATTTAAGTTTGGGGCTATATACCAGGTTTTCCTGAAAATAAGACTCTGTCTTATATTTTTTTAACCCTGAAATAAGTGCTTGGCCTTATTGCCATGCGCTCAAAAGCCCGACTGGGCTTATTATCAGGGGATGACTATGTGGGAAACAGGGTAGTTGCAAACCTCTTACTGGTATTCATAAATATAACCTGAAATTTTATTTTGTTGAGACACTCCAAAATAGTTTCCTAGGAGGCAAAACTTAGGTAAAATTTATATTACTTGAATCTATATATAACTTCAACTGGTGCAAAATGTGCTGGCATGAACAATTATGTGTTCAGGTAAAATACATGCTCCACTCTGCTTTAGGAGTTGCATTAGTTACCAGTCTTAGTCCAGGTCCAATTCAAGATGCTGGTGTTGATCTTTAAAGCTCCTCATGGCATATGACCAGGTTTTTGGAGGGACTGCCCTTCCTGGATTTCATTTGCCTGCCCCAACAGATCCAGCAGGGAGGGTCTCGTACGAGTTCCATCGGTTAAAGAGCTACATTTGGCAGGTCCTGGCCGTGAGCCTTTTCTGAGATGGTACCCACACTATGGAATCTTCTCCCTCCTGAGGTAAGTTTGGCTTCATAATTTCTGTGCTTCCAATGATTCCTTAAAACCTGGTTATGCCAGCAACCCTGGGAACTCCAAAGGATGGGTGGACTTGTGAGGTGGCGTTATTATTAACACAGCTTTGTCTGTCGTTTCCTTGTACATTTGTTTTTATAGTTTTCAATTTTTATAAGTGGTTTTAAGTATTTATTCATTATTTTTTACCTTTATTGTACACTGCCCAAAGTCACTTTAAAAATTGAAAAATTGAATAAAAAGATATACTATGTAAATGTAGGTCTGCTTTGGAGTAAGAATGCGATCAAATATTTAATTTGTAGGACACTAGTTAGCTACAAGACAGGAATATTTATGATGGAGCTATCTCTGAACTGTGCTTTTAATTTTTTGTTTGCTTGTTTGTTTTGACAGAGTTGTTTCTGCCAAGAAAATGAATTGCACTCTTTTAACAAGTTTGTGTGGCTTGATGGAAGTATAGAAGACATGCACAAAGTATGGAAATTAAGACAGGAAAGAAAAGCCATTCAAATTCCTTGTAAACTCTTCTTGAAGATTACACAATGATAACTATATGAAATTACATGTGACCTTCTCCCTAGTATTCAATATTCTGTTTGCATGACTAATGCAGGAATTTTAAACCGTGAAAAAAAATGAAGTTAATCCAATAATTCTAGTATTGCCAACTTTGTAATTTAAAAATTAATATATATATCACATGTATTATAATTTGTACAATTACTGAATTTCAGGATTATTCTAGGTAGAAAAGATCATTTAACAAAATAATTACCACAGGTACATTTGGGATTTTATTTTTAGGGGGTTTTTTTTCTATGAAGGTGATATATTACTATAAGAAAAAATATTTCTGATTAGTAATTATTTCTGAGTTAGTAATCATTTTTGGGGAGAAATGAATTAAACTAGAATTTAAATGTTTTAATTATATGACTGCTCAGGATGTTGCTCTTAAAACACAAAAATTAAGGAATCATATATTTCTTGCTCTAATTGTACTGACAAACAACACTGTTTAAAATGAAGTGCCTGGGTGATCGTTACGATATAAAATTATTAAAAATTCAAGCTTTCAAAAAAAGATTGACATTTACCTGAACATTCAAACTATAACCATTTTTTTGCTAATTCATTGATTAAAATTTCATTATCGGGATTTTTTTTTTTTTTGTTAATACAAAATAAGACAAAGCCAAATCTTGCAATACTATAGAAGCCAATAGACCTTATATATGCAGTATGCAAAATTGTATGCTGTAATGTTTTTACATTTGTGGTTTATGAAATTATTGATAATATATATCTATTGAATGTATATGCAGTTAGTTTGCACAATCAAATGTATGGGTAACTAAATGATACACTTACATAGAGACAATACTAATAATTTAATCTATTAACTATTGGTAAATTTTTGAGTTATTTATATATAGATATAGTCTAAATTTCACTTGAATTAATTATGCTGGTGGTTAGGAATTTACTATTTCATGTGGATTCCACGATCTGCTATGTCCCCAGAAATAAATAAATGTCACTTAGAAATCGGCCTGAATCAAACCAAAGGGGTGTCTGTTTGTGTGTGTCTGTGTATGTATGTATGTGTGCATAAATATATACACATACATAAACACATACAGTATATGTATTCTGTGTGTATACATACACACACACATGCATGCATCCATGCACATGTAGAGCAAGCATGACAAGGTAGCTGTTCTCGGGGAAAGAAATGAGACACATGTTGAAATGTTTTTTGTCAACCACATGAAAGCAAGCTCTTTCTCTCTCCTGCCTCCCCTTTGAGAAGCTTTGAGAACATTCTATTTAATTTCTATACCTCTAACCACATCTTTCTTGTGGGAACAATAATATTGGCAGCTTTGAAGATAACAGTGATATTGTGTGTATTTGGGACTGAAGATAATACACAAAAGGTAAATGTCACTAAGCACAACTTTAAATCCATTGTTTTTCAAAAATAAGTTAAATACATATTTTGTGTCTAGTTTTCATCAATGACCTTTCCGGAAGTGTGCCTCCTAGCATTTGCTAAATGAGGGGCTAATTATAAAGGTCCGTATTTTCTGCTATTGCAATTTAAGAATGCTGTAACTAATTGTCAAATTTAAAGTTGTGTCACATGGGTGTTGCTATTCACTCTGTTGTAGACTAGATACCAATATTCCATATGTAAACATTTTCAGGGGGCTTTTGGATTAATTGACTACACTGAGCAATTGACACACCCATTTCACAACAGTTATTTATTTATTTGTTCAATTTTTGCGCCACCCATCTTGCCTGGAGGCGACTCTAGATGGCCTAAAGTCATTACAAATCAATGAAAACATTAAAACAATAAATAACATTAAATTAGTTTAAAATTGACAAAGATGAGGAAGGGAGCAAGATGCAAAGAGGGCTGGGGGTAGATTCTTATCAAGTCCATTAATTACTACCAGAATAATATGTCCCCATTGGGGCCCCAGGCCAGTTGACAAAACCAGGTCTTCAGGTCCTTTCAGAAGGCCAATTTGCCTTCTAAATATGCCGGCATAGGTAAAGCAGGCCAATCCCATTGGGATTAATGATTCCTCAGATAGCTTGGATTTGTGCTATGAATGGCTTTAAAGGTAATAACCAACACCTTGAATGGGACCTGGAAGCAAACTGGCAATCAATGTAGTTGTGAAACAGCGGTGTAACATAGCCCATCCTATGTCTGCTGTCAGCACAGCTGCAATCTGTCCCAGCTGAAGCGTCTGAATACTCTTCAAGGGTAATGCCATGTAGACTGTATTGCAATAGTCCAAGTATGAGATGACTAGGGCTTGAGTGACTGAGTTCAGGGACTCCCAATCCACAAAGTGCAAAGACTCTCCTAGCCATGATTTCCACCCAGTGGTGAAATCTGAACCGGTTTGCTACCGGTTCACGTGCTGCGCATCAAATGCATGCGAGCGCACCAAACACATGCAGGGTGCGTGCATGCGCAGTACACGCCAAAAGGAGGCTTGGGAAGGTAAGTGGAACAGTGAGAGGGGGATCAGCTGTGTCAGCTGTGCCATGCGATTTGGCACGATTTAGCAGGATTTCCTGCTTTCTAGCAAAGCTAAACCGCGCGGCACAGCTGATCGCCGGAAATACCGGTTCAGAGAAACCAGTAGCTTTTTTAAACTACTGGTTCGACCAAACTGGTAACTTTCTTTTACTACCAATTTGCCCAAACAGGAACGAACTGGTAGCATTTCACCCCTGCTTCCACCTGCTCTTCGAGTAGTAGTCAGGTGTTCAGAAGAACACCCAAATGGTGCACTGGGTCTCTCTGAGGTAGGGCAACCCCATCCAGAATTAAATATGTTAAAGTCCTGACTCCCAAAGCTCCATGCAGTCAAAGCCACTTGATCTTACCAGGATTCAGCTGAAGCCTGTTGTCCCCCATCCAGAGGCCCACAGCATCTAGATACCAAGAGAGGCAGCGACAGCAGCCCTTGGAACATCAGGGTTAAGAGATGTAAAGTTGAGTTTCATCAGCATACTGATAGTACCTCATCCTGTGGTGGTGAACTATCTCATCCAACAGTTTCATGTAGGCGTTAAAAGGAGTGGAGAGAGTAGTGAGCCCTGTGGTACATCATAAGTGAGCGGCCATCGACTGGACTTTTCACTCCCCACCAATATTGATCCGGACCCACCCGGGCCAAATCCTGCAGCCAGCCCAAAAGGATACCATAGTCAATGATACTGAAGGCCTCTGAGAGGTCAAGGAGAACAAGGATGGATGCACTACTCCCATCTTGCTTTCACCAGAGATGATCAAAAAGGGCAACCAATGCTGTTTCTTCATTGCTGTATTTCCTAGATATGAAACAAAATCTTAGATGTTAGTAAGGGTAATGAATATTTAATATATATATAAATAAAGAGATACCATGTAAATAGCAAAAATAGGCAAATTAAACCTATGCAGGGCATCAAAAAGAGAAAAGGCAGTTTAGAGTTACATGGCATAGAAATTGGTATTTTTGCTAGCAACTCATCTGTTTCGGAAATTTGTTTTCTGACAATGAGGATTGGCTAAAGCTCTGCATTAATATATCAGCTGCCTCAATCAATCAATAATAACTGTCTTTCATTTTCAACTGCTCAGTCCTGTTATGCCTCTTTTTTAAACAAATTTTGAAACCACTGGGACCAAATCATAGCAACTAGCAAGAAATGAATCATTAGCTTATGTCAAGATACATTTCTACATCAGGGAGAAAGAAGCTTTAGCATAGCTTCCTGCAATAGATGTTAAGATTTTGCAAATCCCAAACCAAATCTTATGAAACCATCCTGATTTGGTTTCATAAGAAAATCTAAGATGCAATGGCACATGAAAACAGTTGACAAGTATATTCATTATTCAAAATATTCCTGGCATGTCATCTTGCTTAATCTAATCTGAATTTCTAGCTTGTAACAATAAAAGCAAAGCAACAGCCTCATTGGATCCGAAGGCTGAGACAGAATATGTCTCTGATAAAAGTTCCACTTTTTCTCCTTCTTCCTTTTTGCTCTCTAGATTCCATCATGGATTTAGAAGTGGGAAAATTCCTCAGGAATCTTCTGATCTCATTAGCTATAGAAACCAGCAGTTTTACATATTTGCATGATAAATCACTTTTTTTACAATGGGACAATAGTTTTAAACCATCTATATAAATTGTATCTTATATTTCTAATAAGACAAGAGTATATATGATCTTGAAGATAGAACATCTATATAGATTATTCACATTCTATTAAATACCCTTTCAAAGAAATAAGTAGGACAATTTTTAGTACAGAATCTTTGTAGTTTTGAAATATGTTTTCAGTTTTAGTAGTGTTGGTCATGTTTTCTTAATATACAATATTTATACTTTCTTTTAAAATCAGCTGTACAAAAAGGATGAAGTGTTATGATAAACGAATGCCATTGCGAATGTAACTGTAAACAATAAAGAAAACAGTTAATAGCATATTTATTTTATGGAATTCTGATTTTAACTCCTAAGGTTTTTATAAAATAAAATGCATCCACAAATGTATATGGATAATAATCACTTTATATTTCTCTCTCTTTTTATCAAGTGACTTGATAAAGAGAGAGAAATATAGCTGTAATGCAGAATTCTACATTTTTCAAAAATTCTTATAATTGGAGATTTTGATACATTTAGCAATAGATGTAACAAATTTTTATTAAAGTTTTATACAATAGCCTCAGGATAAAATCATAACATGTGATATATATAAGTGATAGTTATTTCAATTCTATATGGAACTCTTGATTATTTAAATTCACTACACTGAGGAGCCAGGATTTCTAATTTCTCTATAAATAATTCTTCTATTTATGTAATACCCATTTCCAAGATATTTCAAAAGGTTTGGTTGGTTGGTTGGTTATGATTCTAATAACATTCAATAAGATAAATAATTCTGCATTGCATAGTATACAGTATTTGAAGGTTCAAAGGGTAATATGCCCTTTAAAAAAATCATTGGAATTTTATAAACTGAAAAAAAATGTGCTAAACCAGCTATATGGAAAATTGCATATAAATTGCAACTGGATTTATTTTTTTTGTTGGTTTAAGATTGGCATCCAAGCAGCTTCCATAATCTGAGCAAGTTTGTTAGGCAGACTGTTATTGGAATGTACCAACTCCTCCTGCCTCAACCTGAAGATTTATTTCCCCAAAACTGTGAGGTTAGTACAAGCGGAGTTTAATTTAATTTAATTTAATTAATTCAATTTATATGCCGCCCCTCTCTGAAGACTCAGGAGTTGGTACATTTCAATGACTCTCTGCCTAACAAACTTGCTCAGACTATGGAAGCTGCTTGAATGAGCAGTGAAACATCTCAAACTAACAAGAAAATAAGTCCAGTTGCCATGATGCTATTTATTTATTTATTTATTAATAAAATTTATATGCCGCCCTATCTCCAAAGACTCAGGGCGGTTCACAGCAATAAAACAATCAGTTAAAATTATAAAATACATAATGTACATATATAAGTTATATTAAAACCCCAGACAATTTCCCAGACAACTCCACCTGGATTGAGAATCTTCATCGACATAAACAAGCAGTACTTCATGAATTATGTGTAAAACTATGCGTACACAAAATGAGAGCCTTGGTGGGTATTATAATTACTTTGTCAAATTACTAACTGCATGTGGCAGACAGCTTAGTTGAAATAAATCCAAGAAATGCCATTTATTGTTATTTTGATATTCGCTTGCTGAATATGTTCTACACAGCCTAGCATTTCATAAAATGAGTATAGCAAACCATCTTACCATCAGATCAGTAAAACTTTTACAGTCAGCTGATGGTTATTTTGGAGTTATAAACTTGTAAGGACATGGAGCCTAAAGATTTTTGCTGTAACAAGGTGTCTTACAAGGTTGCATTATAAATTATAGATGCTTATCATGTTTGCATCTTTCACTGAAATGGTTACCTATTGATTGGTCTTCTCGCTGATTAATTCCCTTATCTCCCTGGTGCTTGTTTTGGAACCAGCTAAATTGCTTGACTTGACTTTTTCTCTGTATGTTCTAAAATCTATGCTCTTGAAATAAACACTTTCTTGCTCTAACTGTGAAAGCAGTGCTTAGGAGGGCAGATATGGTAATTGCTGTAATAAACAAACTTTATTATTACATCTTTTCTCAGTTCACAAATTATATCTGCCTCCTTGGTGCTGTTCTTTTTTCTCCCTTTTTATTGCTGAAACTGATGAACTGAAATATTGGCCACACTCTTAAGCTTGAACAAAGGCATAAAGAAGTGATAGGAACATGAAGATAATGCTTGCTGGGTACAATCAAAAATAGAATGTAGAAGGATAATTAAAATGAAAGGCAAATTAGATCACTGTGGGATAACTCAGTTGTTCATTTTCCTTAATATTATTCTATGTAAAGAAAACAACATAGCACTAGTAAGATCATGGTCATGATTTTGAATAAAATTGTGGACCTATTTGCACAACATTAAAAGCAGAAATAACTGAAAAATCCAAAGAATGCTATTCATGGTAAGTAGCTACATAGACATATGTGATAGAGAAGCACACTTGTAAAAGATTAAATGCATTACATTCCCACCACAAATTATTTACATTTACGGTTTGCATAAGTTGCTAGTCTTACCTCTAAATATAAATATTCAGGTAATAGAGACAGCCAGAAATGCTTTTGCAGTTACAAATAGTATACAGATTATGCCCATTCTTTGAGATGATTATACATACTTCATGACTTGAATATCTAATATCTCCCCTTAGCCGTCAAATTTTGTGTATGTGTCTTATGTATGTATGTCATTATATAAATTTATTTAATCACGTAGAACTCTCTCAGGTATTCTAAAGCCATAGCAATCTAGATAAATGTTTGTCAGCCTCAGCAACTTTACAATGTATGAACTTTAACTCCCAGGATTCCCCAGCATTATGAGAGTTGAAATCCACCCATCTTAAATTGCTGAGGCTGAGAAACAGTAGGTTAGATTACTTCAGCTAACCTGGGCTGGTTGTAGGGAAGATATTGCTCTCTTATTAAAATTCTACACTATTTGTACTATTTTACTATTTAAACATCTTTCTTAAGCTACTTATCACTGAAATAATGCCTACAAATAAAAATAAAAAAAGAAATAGTCATTATTAATACTAAATTTTAAATTAATCAATATTAATTTAAAAAGCACCCGCTCTTTATGCAAGGAAAAAAATCCTGAGAAAATAGAGAGATATTAAACAAATACTGGAAACAGCACATTATGGATTCATGCATAGTAAAGAGAAAAATGAAAAAAACCCTGTAATTCACTGTCATGTGATGTAAAAAAATCTTCCCTAATAATCTTAATGGTCTAATTGTCAGTCCTGGAAGCCATCTTTTATAGTTGGGCCTTCAGGCCTGCCACATTTTTCTACTGAGGGAAAATGGGAGGGGCGATTGTATAGAGCATGGGTAATATATAGTCAAAATAACATTCTTTTCTCAGAGAGTCAAGGCCATGGTGCCCTGCAGCTGCCATGAGGGAACTGGGAGGTATCTTCGGTTTTGGATGGTGCCTGATTGGATCATGTGATGGATATGTGGGTGCTAGGCAGGGACTTCAACTTTCTTTTGGGTGGGGAAAACCTGGAAGTTTTCAGATTCGGGTTTTCCCAGATGTGCCAATGTAACATCTTCAATAAAATGGAACTTTGAGGAAATTCAAGCCTCAGAGTCTTCTTTCGTTGGGGGTGTTACTTGGAACCCTGACACTAATAGGTTTGTATATGGGTCTATTAACCAAACCTGTCAGGATGTACCCGAGTGGTTTGAAATTCTCTCAGAAATATGGTGGTTTAGTGATTGTCAATGTGACATAAAATCTCTTCATAATAACAGTGAGAAATAAACTGGAAAATGAACTTTTATAACATCACTGGCATCCTTCAGTCTCAAGAGACTATGGTATCGTGCTCTGGAAAGAGGTCCTAAAACAGCATCTAGTGTGACTAAAAAGACCAATTTGAGAGTGGCAATCCCACACTGAGGGCAGATACATTCTGTCCCCTGCCCAGCCCCCAGATTTCATTGGTTCCAAGACTGCCTCTTTGCCTCAGCCTGCCGAACAAGTGTCTCTTCGAATTGGAGAAGGCCATGCTGCGTCTTTAGCCTCCAAGCTGAACGGAGGTCAAGGTTTCCCAGTTGTTAATGTCCATTCCCAGGGTCTTTAGGTCCCTCTTGCAGATATCCTTATATCGCAGTTGTGGTCTCCCTCTAAGGTTCTTTCCCTGCACTAATTCTCCATACAGGAGATCTTTCGGAATCTGACCATCAGCCATTCTCACAACATGTCCCAGCCAGCGTAGACGTCACTGTTTCAATACTGTATACATGCTAGAAATTCCAGCATGTTCCAAGACTGCGCTATTTGGAACTTTGTCCTGCCAGGTGATGCCAAGAATTCTCTCCTGCCGTGTGTAAAGGGTCCAAGACTCACTGCAGTACAAGAGTGTGCTCAGGACGCAGGCTCTATAGACCTGGATCTTTGTATGTTCCGTCAGCTTCTTATTAAACCATACTCTCTTTGTAAGTCTGGAAAATGTGATGGCTGCTTTACCAATACGTTTATTCAGCTCAGTATCTAAAGAGAGAGTATCAGAGATAGTTGAGCCAAGGTACACAAAGTCATGGACAACCTCCAGTTCTTGTGCAGAGATTGTAATAGAGGGAGGTGAATCCACATCCTGACCCATGTCTGGTGTTTTTTTCAGGCTGATTGTTAGTCCAAAGTCTTGGCAGGCCTTGCTAAAACTGTCCATAAGTTGTTGAAGGTCTTCAGCAGAGTGAGCAGTGACAGCAGCAGCGAAAAGGAAATCCCGTAAGCATTTCAGCTGGACTTTAGACTTTGCTCTTAGTCTAGAGAGATTAAAAAGTTTTCTGTCTGATCTGGTCCAGAGGTAAATACCTTCTGTTGTAAAGAGTATAATGGCAATAGTTAAATGCAGACCTGAATGTGAAATTCACTGAAAGTCATGATTTTAGAGGTATTAGGGTCTACAACAAGCTGTAGACAAACACTTGTAGGCCCAACAGTAACACTGTTCCATTGATGCCTAACAGTTTCTGCTCCATCTGAACTCTTTTTGAAAACATCTAATTAAAGCAAACAAACAAATGAACAAACAAACAAACAAACAGGAAGCCAACATGTTGAAAAGCTCTAGCCTCTAGTATGAACTTAATTTCTAAGAAAATCTCTGGGCTATAAAAACCATTCAAGCATAGTTGGAAATTAAAATATTTTAATTTAAATCCAATGTTTTTTTGGTGGGAGGTACCCTTCTCCACCTGTATCCCTTTCAAAGGCAAACGAAGGCTAGGATGATAGAGAACTTACCTTGCAGAAATAGTGAGAAGGGCAGAAAATATTCTTATCAAGTTGCCTTTTAGTGTATA